GATCATCTCATTGTCCATAGGACTAGAGGTGTTTAGTAGAGTAGAACTACATGACTTGTATTTTTTGGAGCCCAGATATGGGTACCCAAAAATGCTAAAGCAAACATGTAGAAAGGATTCTTAAATATGATTCATTTACAGCATCATCATTCATTTATCCTTACTTTTCTTCATTCATAACCTTTTGAAAATCCTCTTCCTCCTAACCAAGCTATCACTCCCAAACAAACTACTCTAAAATAACTTGAAATAAGTCAGAGTTAGATGGAAAATAAGCTACTACAATCACTAATATGAATAGGACCCTAAGTTTTATTCTAAAATGTTCTGAACACCTACAACAGAATGTGCAGCATTTTTGCATTTTAATACCGACAGTTTGTACAGTGACCTCCCAACCCCCCCCCCCAACATGGTATGTTGCCATCTTGGACTTTACTAGCCTTTGCCACAGCTAGTAAAGGGAGAAAAGGAGTATCATGAATCCCTAATCTGGAATCCAGTTACTACATCCTCTCACAGGTGGAACACCTTAAAAAATACTAGATTATACAAGTGTAAGGTCAATAGAAAGCTTGGCTTCATGATGCAGCTTCTAAGAGAAGGTCACCACCCATGATGAGGTAGAACTTTGACATGATGCAGCTGTTTCAGGATTCTGTAAGTAACTCCTCGCCTGTGTGTGTAAGCATGCCCACTGAACTCAACTGGTTTCAACAAGCTAACTTTGGCGCACTATAATTTGGTCTGTCATTGGTACCATCTTAGAGTGGACAGATACTTGTGTCTCTCTAGGAAAATTAAGTCAACACAGACAAATCACATAAACTGACTTCCACATTGGGATATAAAAGGCACATTCATTTCTTATCGAAGGCCTGAAGACATAAATATATAATGAAGGAAAGACATGTAAAAATATATTGGGGCTGGTGAGATGGCCCCGTGGTTCAAGATACCTGCCTTGCAAACACAGAGACATAAATTCATTCACAGAACCTGTACAAAGGTGGAAGGAAAGGACCAACTCTATAAATCTCCTCTGTCCTCCACGGGCATGCTGTGTCATGTGCACATGCATATACATACATACTAAGTAAAATTTAAAACTAAATCTTACAAGAAATCAGGATTTAATATCTCTAACCTTTGCTACAAAGTCAAATGAGATCAAAGTGAGGGCCTAGAGCACTGGTTGTCAACCTGTGTCATAACCCTTGGGGTCTAATGATACTTTCACAGGGGTTGCATGTCAAATATCCTGCATATCAGATATTTGCCTTACAATGCATAACAGTAGCAAAAGTACAGCTATGAAGTAGCATGAAAATAATTGTATAGTTGGGGGTCACCACAACATGAGGTACACTGTATTAAAGGGTTGCAGCCTCAGGAAGGTTGAGAACCAATGAGCTAGAGTTTAATGGTATTCTATTATGATGACAAAGAAAATATTAAGCACTTACCTGATAGTAGAATTTATAAAAAGTAATCCATAAAGCATGACAAAGCAAGCACTATACCATTTCAACCTACTGGTTGAGGGAATAATTGAGGGATGAGGCTTAAAGGACTTCTCCAAATTTAAAAGTTTACCAGAGTAAAGAATCAAGCTCAGAGCCAGGCATTAGTGGCACACACCTGTAATCCCTGCCACTTGGGAGGCAGAACCAGGCGGATCTTTGTGAGTTCAAGGCCAGCCTGTCTACAGAGCGAGTTCCAGGACAACCTCCAAAGCCACAGAGAAACCCTGTCTCAAAAAACCAAAAAACAAAACAAAAACAGAATCAAGCTCAGACCTGCGCATGTACTTATTTATGACCCCATGTGCTGTGCTGCAATGAGTTCTCCCCAGGAAAGACTGTAACAATTTGTTATATAATGTCCTCAGGATAGGACAGTTGGTCCAGGAGCTTGTAAATCATTATTGAATGAGTTACAGTATTAAACACAGCTACTAGCTAGGCAGAAAATTTATATTATTCTTGACACAAAAGGGAAAAGTAAAGTAAGAAGGCCTGTTCACAGTCATATATTTAATGAAATATCATGCCCCATCTTGGTATTTTTACAGATTTAGGGACACATGAGCAAAATACACAGGGTAATGGGTTGTCTAATACTAGGAAAGTAGAAAATAATTTCTCTGATGAACTAGCTTTATCATATGTTTAAATATATTAGGATATGAACCACTGAGGACATTATGTTGTCAAATAAGCCAGTAGTAAAAGGAGGAATACTATCTAATTCCACTATGCATAGTCAAATTTACAGAAGCAGAATGGAGTGAGGTTTACAAGGGACTTAAGGAATGGAGAGATGGGGAACTGTTAAACCAGTATAGTGTTTTAATCTTATGAGATATAAAAGTATTTGAGATCTTTCAATAATGTGAATATGTTTAATACTAATTACCTATACATTTAAAATGGTTCAGATGGTATTTTAAAAAGGTTTCAGGAATAAAATATTAATAGATATACAGGAACCAAGATGTATCTCATTTACAGACTATGTGAGGCTCTCAATGTAATCCATAGAACTAACAATAACAACAAACTAAGATATATATCAGAAGAATAGTCTTCTTGTATTGCTGAATAGTCAGTAGCCACAAGTGAATATTAAAATTCATGGTCATATAAAAGTTGAGGATTTCCTCCCTTATGCTAGCTAGTTTCATTTCAGAACTAAACAACAAATGTAACAGACATTTTTACTCAGAGCAAATTCTACTAGGACAGGTTCACAGTGTGTATAAATAATCCTAATACAAATGAATTCAATTCAAAATGATATGTGATAAAAGTGGCATTTCAAATCACTAAGTTAAAAATCATTGAATACAGTGTGGACTAGTTATTGGCACCAAGTAGATAAAACTAAATGCACATTAACAACCTTCCCCACCCTTATGACAACCTTGCTATGTAAGCAAGGCTGGCTGTGAACTCCTGGCTCCATTGAGACTATAGGTAGGTACCATTACCATAGCTAATTGACATTTCAACTCTTACTTAGAGATTTTAGAATAAACTTAAACCAAATTTATCCTTTTTTGAGAGGAAAGAGTCATGAAGTCTCACGGTTTCAGGGAGATCACTTCATCAGAAGAGGAAAACATAGTAGAGCAGAGAAGTTTACTATACTGAGCCACAAAGAAACACTGGATCACTGTGGAAGGCAGTATGAGAAAAAGCTAGAAAAATTAAAAAAATATATAGACCTAAATAAAAAGTACAATGTGAAAATAATAAAAGTATTAGCATGTAATTCTAGTTAAGAAAGGGCTTTCACAGTCAGAATGGCTATTATCCTTGAGTTTAGAAGCTGAGACAGAAGGACCAAAGTTCAAGGCTAGCCTGGGTTACACAGTAAAAACCTGTTTAAAAATAAAACAAAAAGAAACAAAACAGATACCGATTTCTAAAGAGAATATAAACCAAAAAGACAATAATGGAAGCCTGATTTTAAAAAAATCAAAGCTTCCAAATGTATAGCAAAGCAAAGCAAAGAAACAAGTACATTTAAGATGAATAAAGACAAGAAAATCAGAAAAGAAAATGAGAGGAAAGGTTTCATATTTCTTTAATTAATTGTAAAGCATAATTCAGTGTGGGGGGGAATTGGTGACAAGTGATGAGAATTAAGTCTAGTTATTTCTTATTTACACTATTAGGAATTAACACAACTCAACAAATAGTATTTATTAATAAAATGCTAAAGATTCTTGCATTGACTTTAAAACAACGCAAGGGATAAAACCTTAACTGAGAGAGTGGGCAGACATAAAAGCAACACGGTGGGCAAAATTGACAGGTGACAGAGCAGAAAGAGGCAGACAGTAAGAAAGAGACAGGGTCCATATGCTGTTCTTCCTACCTTTGTGTATGCCTGAATTTTCCTACTTCACTTTTTCCAGATGTGGGTATTTCCAGAATACTACTTACATAACAATTTAAGTAAAAGGAAATCCTAAGAGGCAATGAAAGCAAAGGCCTGAAAATGACCTGAGTATTTATTGGAAAAGTAGTTGAATAAACTATGATTCATTTAAATGCAGTACTGTCACGTATCCATGCTAAAAATAAATTTCAAGATGTGGTGGTGCATATTTGTAATCCTTTCATTCCTAAGGAGAAATGGGAGGTGAAGATAGGCTTACCACCTGGAAGTTTGCAGGCCAGATAACATGCAGTAAACAATATAGCAACAAAAACAAGCAAGACTCTGCTTTGAGAAAGTGGAAAATAAGAATTCAGTCCTGTCAGCTATTCCCTAATCTACATATGTGTATTCTGGCAAAAACCTATTCACATACACAATCATGCACAAAGTAATTAAAAATTTTTAAATGGTATTTAGGAAAGAATAAGAGAACAAATGAACCATAGAAACACATTTTGTGCTCAGGTGTAAGAGGGCAGATGCAGTCTTAGTAGTGAGATAGGTTTAGACACATAAAAGGGAGATTATATAAAAATTTTTAAGAGGCCTAGAGCAATGGATCAGCCCTGAAGAGTATACACTGTTCTTGCAGAAGAACCAAGTTCAATTTTTAGTGTCCATGTCAGATGGTGCAAAACCACCTATAACGCAAGCCCCAGGGGAGCTGACACCCTCTGTCCACTACCATCATCTATATTCACAGGCATCAACACACATACATGCACATGTCAAAAAATAAATATTTGCAAATATCAGAATTAGAGATTTTTAAAATTGAAAATGGTGGCATTCAGTATACCTGGAGAAAGTGACTTCAAAAGAGAACAGAATGTGTAACAAAAACAAACTGAAAAAGCATACATGTTTTTAAAAACTGGCAAAATTAAAAAATTTAAATTTAAAAATAAAATTGGCAAAGAAGAATTTCAAGAACAGTTTAGTAGAGTATAGAGCAGAATAGACTATTCCCATGCCTTGCATCCTTTGTTTTCTTTTTGGCTTATTTTCTGTACATTAAAAAAAGTAAATAACAAACACTCTTTCGGTACCTCGTTTGCTGCTTCTAGTGGTCTCTTCTTCCGTGGTCCAATAGCTGCAAGAGCTGTGAGATTAGCATCTCTGTATTGGATCTGGGCGAGCTCCAACTGCTGCAACTAGAAGATGGAGGAAAAAAAAAGTCCTTGTTTACACAGATGCTCAGGGAGAAAGAATAAAATATATTTTCACTCCTTTGCAGCCAAGGGCACATCCCTGATGTCTTGACTGCACTAACACCTAGTTCCTAATCTTTACAAAGAAAAGACAGCTCAGGGAAGAGGAAGTGCAGACAGAAGAAGAAAAGGAAATCAGAATAGTGCTTGTGTACCCTCAGAGCACAGTTCTACTATGTCATATGACTTACAAATTATTCTCTTAACCTTCACAAACACACTGAAAGGGTAATTCACTGACTCTCACACAGAAAAAAGTTGCACAGGGAGGGTCTCAGAGATTAATGCAACTTCATAGAAATCACCGAATGAAGAGGTAGAACCAATAATCAGAGTTTATTACCACTACAAATATTTATTCTGTTTTTATCCTCATGGGTTTATTCTGTATTTGTCTTCATGATAAAAATCTTGAGTGATGTAGCTTAGTCTGGAATGGCCAAAACTACAAGGTACAAGTTTTTAATACTTGGGAAACAGTACAGAAGGTAACCATAAATGAGGTTTCATCAAAGTGGTTATATGTGAAAATGGTTATGTATTTTTTATAAAGACAAAGTAAAACTAAAATACCACTGCATAAGTCCTTCAGCTTTTCTCGAAGAGGAAAAATGTTCAGTTCTCATGAAAATCTTACTGATATGTGAGGCAAAAATGTTGCTGAGACAGAATGACAGTCACACTCCAACAGGATCAAGACAGTCCACTCAGAAAAACTTACACTGGGAATACTCTTTAGGAAAAACAACAAAAAAGAACAAATACAAACCAAAATAAAAGAAGGTGAGGATGAGAACATAGGGCTATCTATGAGGAATGGAACACCATTAGCTCAAACACAAAATCAGCTCTCACCTTCATCTTAGACATCCTAGCTTCCAGAGCTGTGAAAAATAAAATTCTGATGAAAATATCCTTTTCACTATGGCAGCATGAATGTCTAGACAACAATTAATCAAAGTAAGTAAACTAAGAATTATATTCTATTTGCTCCAAAAATTACAGGACAGAAATCCTTTTTGAGCTGTAGGCCTTCTTATAAATTGTTAGATAAGGGTTTTCAGAAATTGTAAGCTCTTTTGTTGCTGCTGGCCTTTTTAATAAAAACTATAGTCAAGGGTCTCATGCTGCCACAAACCATAACTTCTATGTACCCCCCCCAAAATTATTTTACTTAATCTACCCTACAGCACAAATCAAAGTATATTTTAAAGACCTTCCCTATAGAGATATGGTATCTTAAAGATAGTCATATCAAATAAGGACTTCTTCCCACCCCTGCAAGAAAGATTTTTAAACTGAATATGTAAGTAACTTCCTTAACACATAATGTTTTAGAAAATTTTCCAAAAAAAAACCCCAAAAAAAAAACAAAAAACAAGTTAACAAAAATACCTAGAAAATGGCCATAGTTTTAGTTGCTTCTATAGTTTATAACACTTTCTCAGAAACAATAAGAGTTTAGCACAAAGCAAATACAAAAAAAAAAAAAAAACAAAACAAAAAACCAAACAACAACAACAACAACAACAAAAACAGACAAAACTAAAACAAGAGAAAGTTCTGGGCATTAATATAGTTATGGTATAACTGTAGTTGAAGTTGATGACAACATAAAACTCAGAAAAAAATTCAAGAGGATTGCAAGATTATCAATGCAGAAAAGCTAAATTACCTATAAAAACAGAAACAACAATAATCACACACACACACACACACACACACGTAAAACAAAACCACAAACAAAATCTCCTTAATTCTAATGAATGCATTCAGCAAAACTGCAAGATGCAAAGTTCCCACAAACAATAATCATCATCTACTCAAGTATCAGTAGAAACAGACACACTAAAATGAAACACTGGGGAATAAATCAATTATTTATAGCCATCTCTGGCAGAGCACCCATCAAGTATTGTGAGGTCCTGGCTTTAATCCCTAGAACCCAACTCCCCTATCTTATACACAAAAGGATTTTCTGCAAATTGATTCAAGGATCTAACATAATTCCAGTAAGTATTCCTGATGAATAGGGACAAACTGATTTTAAGGTTTATATGGGGGATAGAGTTAATTCAGGAGAGGGCACTTGCTTAGCATACCTGGAAACTACTCAGCACTGCAAAAGTAAAGGCATCTATGGTAATCACCAGGGCTACACGTAATAAATAGAACCCTGGGAGATCCCTTGGAAAGTGGGTGCTATGTAAACGGCCACAAAGGATCAGAAAGTTTGTCAAAGACTTTGGGCATCTGCCTTCCAACCCATCCACCCACACTTTTAAAATAAAGGACTTCTTTTCCATTACATACAAAATCTGTCCTTACTACCTGAATGTTTAACATTATATACATTCAAGAAATGGAGGAGTAAGTGGACATCCATGTATAAAATAAATTTTAAAAACATTCAATCTGGACCTGAACTTCAAATGTCATACAAAAATTAACTCAAGGGACAAAAAGCATAAACTTAGTTTGAAGTCTAGCAAAGACTTCTTAAGATGTGGCATATCTATCCATAAAAGCACTGACAAACTGATCTTCATCAAAATTAAATTCTTCTAATCTGTGACAGACTTAAGAAAAAGAAATGCTAGTTTTATGTCAACTTGAGGCAAGCTGGAATCACTTAATCCCCCACCAGACTGGCCTGTGGTATACTTCTTTAACTGATGATTGATGTGGAGGGCCCAACTCACTGTGGATGGTGCCACCCCTGGGCTGCTGGTCCTGGGTGCTGTAACAAAGCTGGCTGAGCAAGCCATGAAGAGCAAGTCAGTATGTAATGACCCTCCACAGCCTCTGCTTCAGTTCCTACATCCAGTTTCCTGACTTGAGCTCCTACCTCAAACTCCCTTCATGACGGACTGTGATTGGGATATATACACTTAAACACTTTCCTCCCCAAGTTACTGCTTTTGGCCATGGTCATAATAACAGCAATAAAAACTAACTGTGACAGTGAGTTCAAGGCCAACCTGACCTGAAGGATGTTGAGTTCTAAGAAAGCCAGAGCTACATAGAGAGACCCCCACCTCAAACAAACAAACAAAAAAAAAAAAAAAAAAAAAAAACAAACAAACCACAGACAGACAGACACACACAAACACACGCACACATGCACGGAGGGAGGGCAGAAAGGGAGAGAGCAGTGAGAATATTACTAAGATGGTATGGATTTTGAAGGCATGAAGGGGTCATGGAGAATACCTAAGGCTTATAAAGCTTGACACTATGTGGCAGGGCTAGAGTTCCTTAAGAGCAGCTATTTGGGCTTCTTCTGTTGAGAATTCTCTGTTTAGCTTTGTACCCCATTTTTCAATTGGGTTATTTTGTATTTTGATGTCTAGTTGCTTGAGTTCTTTATATATTTTGGAGATAAGACATCTGTCAGATGTGGGATTGGTGAAGAACTTTTCCCATTCTGTAAGTTGTTGTTTTGTCTTATTGATAGTGTCCTTTGCCTTACAAAAAGCTTTTTACTTTCAGGATGTCCCACTTATTGATTGTTGCTTTCAATGTCTATGTTACTGGTGTTATATTTAGGGACTGGTCTCCTGTGCAAATGTGTTCAAGGCCATTTCCCACTTTCTCTTCTATCAGGTTCAGTGTAGCTGGATTTATGCTGAGGTCCTTGATATACTTGGATTTGAGTTTTGTGCATGGCAATAGATATAGCTCTATTTGCGAACTTCTGCATGTTGACATTCAGTTATGACAGTATCATTTGTTAAAGATGTTTTCCTTTTTCCATTGTACCATTTTGGCTTCTTTGTCAAAAATCAGGTGTTCATAGGTGTGTGGATTCATGTCAGAATCTTCAATTCTATCCCATTCCATTGGTTCACCTGTCTGTTTTCATGCCAATACCAAGTTGTTTTTATTACTATAGCTCTATGGTAGAATTTAAAGTCAGTGATGGTTGACGCCTTTTTGATCATAGAAGATTTATAGGGAAAAAAATGGTTTGGGAGAGAACTGTGTTTTTCTTTTAACCTTGCTAGAAAAAAAAAAAAAAAAAAAAGCTAAACAGATTCAAAGGAACAGAAAGAAAGAAAAAACAAGCAGGCTTTCTATCAATCCTTTTCAGTAAAAGAAACCACACCCTATCCCACAGTATCATTTGAAGACTGTTGTCTACCTTTTGACTTAATGGAATAAACAAAATAACAAAAATATTAAACAAAGAAAACCACCTCTTTCAAAGAGGAAGAAAAAAATTAAAAGAAACTAAGTACCTATGTTTATAAAGCAACAACACACATAGTAAGATAATTAACTTTCTAAGCAATACTTTCCAAAATGAGAATCAATTAAAAGAAAGCGATACAAGCATCCAATCAGTCCTTAATTAAAGAAAGAAGATACCCCGGATTCAGAGCAAAGACAAGTGACAGAGCTATCATCAATCTAGGTTTGCTTAAAAACATTGTTAGATATGATTCTCAAGTTAACATTGTTAGATAAATATTCAGTGGAAGGAAATTATAATAAGGAGCATTTTGTTTAAAGACTGTCTCTAACACTTTAATGCCCTTCCTTTCTTGCCCTAATCTTTATGTCCCTCTACCCAGAGTATTTTCTTTCTCTATGTTAAAAAACAAAATAAATATAGCACTTTGATTCTAAGAATCAACTAGCTATTCAATGTGTCTTGCCTCAGCTCCTACATTAATCCAAACAATAAGGGCCTTTAGAACATTAATAAATAACCTGCTGCTGCTGGCACCTAGATGCCAAGTGCAGCAACGCTGAGGACAACAAATTCATAGTTCAGGAGACACAGTTAAGGAAAAGATTGCTCAGGAAATCACTCTTGCTTAGCATAAAGATGCTTAAAATTTGCATGAAATCAGTCAAGTAACTATAGAAACCAATTTCTTCAGCTCCATATCACACATCTCACACCTCAATTGTCTTTATTATCATCTGCTGTCAAATACTTAACCAGGAATGTGAACAGGATTGATGATTTATTCAGGAGGGAAAAGAATCTGAGGTCAGGTGAAAGTTTCTCTCTCTCTCTCTCTCTCTCTCTCTCTCTCTCTCTCACACACACACACACACACACACACACACACACACACACAGGCATGTACACACGCACCCCTTCAACCTTAGGTACTTTCATTTCATTCTGTTCTCAGTAGCTCTGGGGGTAACTCCAGTGAGATCCAATATTAAGGCTCAATTAAAATAAGCTCCAATTAGTGGAGCTTTTTTCTCTGAGGCTAGAGAAGTCAGGAAATGGATATTGGGAAATGTAAAAAGTCAGCTACTGAGAGAAGGCTGCAGACATAAATGAACTTATTTGTTGATTTCTACAGTTGCTATGCAGAGGCCTCTGGGAGTAAAAGCTTAACCAGTCTAAGCTATAAACTAAAACCCCCTGCAGCTAAACATGAACTGTGTGAAACAAGGGCTCCATTCCAGAACAGAAAACTGCTGGGCCCAGAAAATTAAAAGCCAGAGGCATTTTCCATTTAAAACTAAATCCCAGTACCGCCTCCCAGCCAAAGAATTATAAGCAGTATCAGATTTACAAAACGAACAATTACCCTGGAAAAATGTAGCCTATTGTACAGTCCCAGATGCTAAATCTCAAAGTTTCTGTCTTTCTTTCTTTTAATCCCACACTATATCCCTCCAAGTATATGGTTGCAGTTTACAAAGAGCCATTTCCAGACAGGCCTAAGCCTTGAAAATAAATTTTAAAAGGAGAGCACATAGCTCACTGACCTCATTTGAAGTACTGCCCTTGCCTTCAGCAGTTCCTGTCCTTCCCCAAGGCTTTTGCAAATGGTATGCAACAGTAAAATAAACCCTGACCTAATTGCCAAGAGAGAGGCTGCCAACCTTCCCTCAAACACAAAGACCAGAACGGTAACTTGAAAGTCCTACCTCTTTGGCTTTCTGCTTTAATCTCAGCTGTTCTGGATCTTCTTTATTGGAACGGCTCTGTCAAAGAAAAAGAAAATTTTAATAGAAATCATCTAAACACTAGCATTGCTGTTAAATATTTAATAAATGATGATTTCTCCTGTGATTGAAAACCCTAGCTCCAGGGTCAATGCCTCAATCCAGAATAGATGCACTCCAGCCCTTGCCCCCTCCTCATCATCATCTGGGCTGGCTGCTGCAGTTCTAGCCTGGAGGAAACGCAGACTGAAAATGATGCTAACAATGTCAGTCAGGTCCAGTCAAGGCATGACATTGTTCCTGCTGGAACAGGGCAAAATGAAAACTGGCTTGAACAGAAGAAAAGGAAAAAGAAGTGTGCGCTCAAATGAATGAAAACAAAGAATACTGGCTTATCTTTAGGTGAAGCCATTTTGGAAAAGTATATGTTATTTAAACAGCTATTAAAATCAAGAACACAACTAGCCTTGAATCAAATCTCTTAAAAAGAGTAATTTCTGAAAGCACAAGTAGGAAACACATTCTAATATTTTTATTAGAGTTTTAGGTGCTCTATAACTATTGATACTATCCATGCTATAAATAAAATAAAATGTGATAAAAATGAGCATAAGGAATGTGGTAGGTACTTCTCTAGTTAGGCAGTGTATTAGACATCCATGATGAATAACAATTGAGTAGAAGTCTGAACAACAAGAAATAGGCAATCACATTAATCCATTAGGGAAGAACATTCAAACAGAAGACACAGTAAATACCAAAGCCTTAAAATGCCAGCAAACCTGAGAACAGACAGGATGGGCCCTGTGTGTAAAGCACACAGAAAATATGAAGGAAAGAAAGGAGGCTAGGTATTGCCTTATAGCCACTTTAAGAAGGAAAAGAGTTTAATTGTAGATTTAACAATCAGCCACTGGAAGAAAACTATTGCTGCATAGCACAAGAATGAGGGTACAATGGAGCAACCCCTTAGAAGAGGGCTCCACCAGGAACACAAAGTGTTTATTACTACACAGATCTACAACTGAAGGCACAGGTGCCCACATAATGAAAAAACTCAGGGAACTGCTATGAAGAGAAAGTGACCGAGAAAACAATGACAGCAGTCTAGAATAGCAGTAGAGCAATGATGACAAATAGATTCAAATTCTATTTTGAAAGTAAAGTCAACCAAATTTGTGGTAGACTAGATACAAGATACAAACAAAAGAGGGAAAAAAATGTTATCTTAGATTCTAGCCTAAACAACTGAGAGGAATTCTAACTTTCTGTAGCAGAAGATCTAATAAAGAATACACAACAATGGAGAAGGAATTCAACTGTCAGTTTTAGATGCCAAATCAAAGGTTGACTGCCCTAAGGTGGACACAAGCTTTGAATAGACACTTGAGTATGATGAGTGGGATGAGTGAAGGAGTGTCATGAGGCAAACTCAAAGAGGGAGTCAAGTACTAGAAGTCTTGTAAAATGTTTGGGTAAGTACAATCAACAAGAAATCACTAAAAGCAATGTTTTGTTTTGTTTTGAGACACAGTCTGTCCTGTAGTCCTGGCTGTCCAGAAGCTCTCACTGTAGAGAAAAAGCAAAGAGAACAGTTAGGGTTCTTTTTTCTTTCCATAAATTTATGGGAAATTAGGGTATCTCTGAGTTAGAAAAAGCCATAATAAAAGAGAAAAATCAGAAGTCTATTTGGACATATACAATTTGAGAGTCCTATTAGCCAGAAAAGTGATTATCAAACAAGCAGTCAATTGTACATCCCAAAAGTTTTAGAATGTAGACCAAGCTGAAGTACAATCTTGGGAGAGCACAAAGACATAGAGAAGGCATAAGACTGAAGCCAGGGCATCCCAATATTTATGGTTCTGTCTCAAAAACAAAGAAAACCCAAAGAGACCAAGAACCAGTATAATCTCTTATATAAATAATAACTAGAATCATATTTAATGGTTTTATAAACTTATTTATTGTACAGTTACTAGAAATAAAGAACAGTAAACTACCTTGTTATGATAGCTTAGTTCTTGCTTAGAATATGTCAAGCTTAAGATAGAGTATTTTCCTGTCTCATCTTCCTGCCCTTGTCAGCACAGGGGTCAGTTTGGGGCTGAGACAGCAGAGCAGGGACAATGTTATGATGCCTACATCCTTGTAGAGGTTTGGGATGTCTCAGTGAGACACAGACCAGTGGTTGTAATGGTAAGGAGTACGGCCAATAAAATGGCATGAAGGAAAATAGACAAGAGTCAGTCAAGCTAGTGGCATATGAATCTCACTGATCAAATACATATGCTGACTGATGACATAAGCTATTATGTTAAAGATAATAATTAAAGCAAACTTTCTGATTCCTGGAGTAAAAATTCTGCAATTATTTGAAGGGAGGGAGGCAGGCAGCAAATATGAGTAAATGAATGAATATGTACATACATGAAGAACTAGTATACAGGTCAGAGGAACAACTTATGGAAGCCAGGTTTCCTACCACCATGTAGCACTCAGGAATTTAACTCAGGTGATCAGGCTTGGCAGCAAGTGCTCTTATTCCCTGAGCCATCTTGCAAGAAAGAGAAAAGTTTTATAAAGTAGATAGGTTATGGGTATAAAGAAAGAGGTCCAGGACTAAAGTTAGAGGTATGAACCCATGATTCTATAATACAAATAGTGATGCAGTAAACATTGTAGATATTTCTATGTATGTATGTATATACATAACATACAAATATTTCCTAGAGCCATCCACTAATATATCCTATAAATAATGACACTGTTAAGCAATAAACATAGTGCAATTTGTGCTACAAAACTGGTTTCTGAATATCATCTTCAAGTAAAAAGATGCAGAATTTCCTATAGGTATGGCTGACTTCAAGATGAAGGCAGGAAGAGTAAAGGTTAGCCCTGGAATATCTCAATAGCAAAAAGTAGGACATGCTTAGTGAGCGAAGGAGACATGACAAGTAAGAGCCATTTAGAAGGGTCTCCCTCCTACAGGCATTCTGAGCATCACAATAAATCTTAATAGTAAAGTAGTATAGACAGCTGAATTAAATAAAAAACCACAGGTTTATATTTTTATGAACAGGGAGGAAAAGAAAGCCTTTTCATATAATAGAGGGTTATATATGAATGAAAGTTAATGAGAATAAACAATTAGTACCAAGTAATCTTCATAGAAGTGGCTGATACAAGAACTTGCTAAGGCTGATACATGAAAATTCGATAAGGAAAATATATTGATATAATTTGTGAAGATTAAAACAATCCATGAAAAACTAAAAACTTACAGAGACAGACTGTCAATTTTAAATTGAAAGAACTGGTAGACAACTATATGTCTGGGTTATTAGGTTGCCTTTTGAGATTATTAGCTCAGAGAAATGTCTTAATCACCTCTGTGTATTCCTGCCAGGGGTGCATAACTACACGTCCTAAGGAAATACCATAGAATGCAGGTAAAGGTCATGAATGAGTATATAAGGAGGACTGAGATTGCCAGAAAAAAAATGTGATGAGAGAACTACTAAGTGAAATACTTATTTCTGAAAAGAAAAATGGAACACAAAAAAAACAAGTGGGACAGCTGGCAAAATCTCAACAGGGATCTGTGCAATGCACACTAGAATGTTTAAGGGTGGTGGCTCATTATGCCTCAGGACCGCTTTCCAAAGTATAGACAGTTACATAACTTTAAACTAAGGTGGAGATGGACACGACACACTAAAGTATGTGTGTGTCATGGTGCATACAAGGGATCAGGCTGAGATGGAACAAATGCAAGAAACGAGCGGATCTAAGAAAAAGACAAATGTATAATTTTGATATTATAATGTCAGTAGAAATTGTTTAAAATAAGTCAAAGAAGCAATTAGAGCCAAGTTACCATGATTGACCCTTCTAAATCCCAGCAATTCAGAGAAGGCCAACAGGACAGTGGGTTCAAAGGGTGCCTGAGCTACATTAGTATTCGTACATAGATCCTATCTCATCACAGAAGATTTAAGAAAGTAGGTAGTGGACTGGAGTTGATGCTGAATGTCTTGAATGTCAGCACTCAGGAGGGATGCTGGTCACTGAATTCAAGGCCAACAAAGAGTAGATGTGTGCCCTACACAATGAGGGGGGAGAGAGAGAGAGAAACAGGGACACAGAGAGAGCCAGAGAGACTAGATGTGGCTCTCAAAAATAAATAAATAAATAAATAAATAAATAAATTAATAAATAAGACTCTGGTGTTCAACTTTCACAATCTCTTGTGAGGCTTTGATTATGTCTATGAAGAACTGTGGGTATAGAACATAAACTGTAGTAGAACTGAACTGTTATGTAGTATCCAGGCATTACTAGTCCTAGAAAACAACTTAAGAGGAAGAACACAGGGCCATGGCTCCTGTAGCTCCTATGACTCTCCCTCTCTCTAACACATTTCCACCAATTTACATTTGGTTCCATATACTCCAAATTATTAATTTTACCATAATCTTCCTGTATTTTAAAAATTATTCTTGTTAACTTCAACTTGGTACATGCCAAATAGTATCTTATGAGTCTAAAATTTGTGTAAAAGTTTAAGCTAGAAATAGGGATGGATGGATGGATGGATGGATGGATGGATGGATGGATGGATGGATGGATGGGAGGGAATGATATCAGGTACACCAGATTATTTGGGGGGGATGGGACAAAAGATTATGACTCATTAACTAAACTAACTGAAAGCTATTAGTAATTTCATTTTAGAATATTCTCAAGAGAAACCTAAAGGTTTAAGAAAAGCAAGGCCATCAGTCAATGATAAAGCTAATTATGATCACATTGCCAGGCCATGTTCCTATAAGTCATACAATGCTTACCTTGGCTGCTCTAAGTAACATCTCTCTTTCTTCTAGATCCTTCCTCTGTTTTTCCAATTGATCTAGCTTTTCAAGAAATTTGAGCTGTGATCTGGTGTCAGTAGACAAGATGTAATTTTCACTTCCCTAGGGGAAAAAACAGTTTTATGATTTGGGCAATACATTTGCATTAAGCATTATGATAAACAATACAAAAGAGGGTAACTTCAAGTCATAGAAGGAACTAGATTTTTCAGAAGATATTTTTTTTACTTTGTTAAACAATCAAGCAAACAAAATAAAAGCCAGAAACTTTAATCATCTTTAAATTTGAGAGATGATTAGCATTTATATTTCAGAAAGATTTCCTTAGCAAGCCTACTCAGAGACAGCAAAAGGAATTAAATCAAACAAATCCTAATATTAGGAAAAAGAACCCAGTAGAATATACCATTACCTATAATTCAATCTTCCTTGGTCAAATTATTTCCTATCTACTGACATAAATATGAGTAATTAAATATTAGATGAAAAGCAAGAAATAATCTATTCACTGAAAAGGACAGCCAAGAAAAAGTGCTACCTCAGATAGATTGGCTTAATCTTATTTAATCCCAACACTATGGAGGCAGAGGAAGGCAGATATCTTGAGTTGAGGCCAGCCTGGTTCACAGAGCAAGTTCCAGGATAGCCAGAGCTACATAGAGAAAACCTGTCTCAAAAAATCAAAAGCAAACAAAAAAATCATAAAGGTCTGATTACGGAAACTAAATTTAGACAGCAACTTTAATCAAAATAATTCTGTATATAATTTATTAACTTACCGTTTCTCTATTTAAAAGCAGGTTCTCACTATACAGAATAGGCTGTCCTGGAACCTAGGATCATCCTGCCTTAGCCTCCCAAGTAGTGGGAAAGCATATAATTTACTGTAACAAAAAACTATAATTTCTTATCTTAAATACTCCATAAAATGACAAAAGTAAAAATGTCTGTCTTATCCAGGTATGCTAGAATACAAAAACAGTGCTTTCAAATCTATGTATATTCTACTTTTCTTCACCTATAGCCACCTAATACAAATATCCTTACAAGTGGGCTGTTGTGAGAGAAGCAGAAAGGTTTTAAACAATCCATACATATCCAAACATCTACTCATCTCAGGCGTCAACACTTGAGGGAGAGTCTTATAGCCAAAAACAACTAAACAGCGAGCTCAGCAGTAAGCATTTGGCTTGGAACCCAGAACCATACTACTCCCATCTCTGCCTCCACTTTATCCTCATGCTTATGGCTGCTTCAATTAGCTTAGACTAAGAGATTTCATATGCCCAAGATTCTTTTTAAATTAAATTTTTATTGTTGGCATTTAACTAGATCAAAAGAGTATTACATGGTTTAAGGAAGAAGGGTGTATTAGTGCTACTTATTTTACTTAAAGTTTAATTCAAGAATTCCCAAATGGTCTTTAAAGTTAAATAATACAAGATAAAATGTGGAACACATTATAGGTCAAGCACAGAGGTTAAGCACAATAACAGTGGTTTCTTAAATACTTCATCTTTACCATTTCTGTGTTCAGAAACTCTGGAGACAGTTTATGGACAGAAATTTAATTTAAAAGGGACAATAAACACTAAATTAAAAAGAAGTACAGGCATTCTAAATTTTAACCATATCTCATTCTCATGCTGTTTCCTTTACCAATTCAGATACAACTGCCTGTGGCATAATTTCTCCTTTTTCTTCCAGCTACAGCAAATGAGTGCCTTTCCTAACCTACTGTGAATACTTACCTGCTGTCATGTTCCTCCTATCTCTGTGAACCAACTACCTGAAGACTTCATGGACCAAAAGTATAAAAGCCAGTACTAGACATCCAGATGCAGGTGATATTAGCACCATCAGGTGAATCCCACCTGAAGGAACCATCACAGTACCTTTCTGCTAGGGAGTGAAATACTCCATAGCCACAGCACAGACAGCAGGTTCAGTGTAAAAACACAAAGCAGAGCTGGGCTGTGGTGGCACACACCTTTAATCCCAGCATTGTGGAGGCAGAGGTAGGTATACCTTTGTGTTCAAGGCTATCCCTGTCTACAGAGTGAGTTCCAGAACAGCTAGGGCTACATTGTGAAACCCTGCCTTGAAAACAAACAAACAAACAAAACAAAACAAAACACCAAACAGGATTTAGAAAAAAAAAAAGCTAGACTAAATACTAGATTACTTCTACTTTTTTATTTACATTTCAGTTTATGACCTATGATTAATTAGAACATTATACCCAAGTAAAAGTAACTAACATCTACAATAGAAAAGATGGCGGTGGAATTTTGCTTTTAATAACTGTGGCTGTTTTTTTTTTTTTTAATAGTTTATGGAGTAGAATTTCCTTTATTGGACAGATAAAAATAAAACCCAAGAGATAGAAGGACTAGACCAAACCTTTGATACAAATACTATTATTATAATTAAAGTTTGTAAATAATGGTGAATTTTGAAGTAAATTCAAATGTAATTAAGTGGTTATTATTTCTTCTTAAAGACGGATAATTTTGTCTTTCTATATAACATTCAGACAGCAATACTAGCTATCCTAAAGAATGAATGTTTGGTAAAGGGTGCAGTATAAATCAATAGTAAATGTGTAACACAGTGGTTCTCAACCTGTAGGTCATGACCCCTTGGGGGATGCTGAACAACCCTTTCATAGAGGTTGCATATCAGATATCTTATATATCAGCTATTTACATTACAATTCATAACAGCAAAATTACAGTTATGAAGTAGCAATGAAAATAATTTTATGTTGAGGTTAACCCAATATGAGGAACCATTATGAAAGTTGAAAGAGAGCTACCATATAACAGAAAGTTAAGAAGGTATTTATCCTTAAGCTAAATGATTAAGGTCTTCCAGGAAGGGTAAGCACTACCCATTTTCCTTCAACTACCAAATCCTATTAACACATGCAATTGATACAAAGAAAGTCTACCTGAACTTTATAACAAGAAAGTTTTGAATGGCACAATGAATGAAATCTTTGGGGGTACTTCCCTGGAGTTAGAAGCTAGGGTCCAGAGCAGGGCAAGGCTGTATCTCATGCTGACAGTCAAACTTGATAATGTGTAAGATTCAGGCATGAGAGGATCACAGAGTAAAAAAAGGTCTGTATACAAGGCTGGACTTCCTGAAAAGATGCCAGGAGAGGCAGTGGACACCCTAGGATTGCAGGATTGGTCATGGAGAGAGGCTATAACACATAGTAAGGTCAGAGTCCCAGAACCATACAATGACAACAAAAGACAGCAGCAGCTGTGGAGCAGAACAGGCCTGAGACTACATGACAAACTAGATGTGCTGTGAATGGCAGAGTTGGAGAAATTGAAAGCCTTTGGAGCCCAGAAGACTGTGAGTACCAGATGTCACACATTGAGCTGTTCATACTTAGGGATGTGGCTTTGCTTTGATTTTAACTGTGCTCTGGAAAGTATGTCATTTATCTTTTCATTTTATAGGAGCCTACAGTTGAGTTTTGGTACTTTTAAAGAAAAGTTAGACTTTTGAGTGATGGGCTTTTTAAAAGACTGGGCAACTTTTAAATCTGGAATGTTCTATGACTTGACTTAAGAACCATTCCAAGAGATGAAACCATATTGAAACATTGCTTGGGTGACCAAGAATCAGAGATTAGATAGCCCAGAGACCTAGAGTAAAACCAAATACTAGTGGTCCTTAAAAAAAATAAATAAATAAAAATAATAATAATGATGATGATGATGAAAAAAAGGCTCCTAATAATATTCTACTATACCCATAGATCAATGGCTTGCTCAGCCATCAGAGAAACCAAAAGTGCCTGGTTCTTTGTAATGACTAGGGAAGCCATTAGCTAGAATAACAGGGAAAACACAAGTAAGAATTAGAAAGAAAAGTGCAATTACCACCACCAACTGAACTGACATAAATAATAACCTACAAAAATGGACAAATTTCTATACTCACATAAAATGGAATATTGACACTGTTTTCTACAGCTTTTTATGATACTGATTCCATATTTAAGTCAGTCTGACAAATTCCCTCAAAAATTTTGAAAGTAAGGAGCTTCCCAAGTTCTACATGGAACAGAATGTAAGTAAGATGGTTTCTCCACCAAATTTACCAGGGTGACAGCAGCAGATAGTCTGGGTTTCCTTTAATTTATATGGCTGGGTATGAAGCTTTGACAATGAATGATCCTATTGTAAACTCAAAACTTCACAAAGTTACCTACTTACCAACATGTTGAAATCTACCACTCGACATTTTTTAATTTAAAAGAATTATCCCTTTTCATCCCATTATCTTTTCTTAAGATCCATAATCATTCAGTTATTTGCCCACCTCTGAAACTACAATTCAGAACTGATCTTACCCTAAAGGCCAAGAAGCAATAAAATCTACAATTCAAATATACTAAGTGCCTTTGTCTCAGTAACAGCAAGTCATTTTGTTACACCACTAGAAATTAGACAGGCTATTCTTTCACTTAGTCTTTCATAATAGCAGGCAAGAGTAGTAATGAATGACATTAGTATCAATACTTACTATCATCATGTAAGTAAGAGCCATGTAAGCAGAGTCCAGACCACACAACCAGTATTCCATCCTAACACAACCTCCTTCATAATCAAGAATAGAGGAGGAGCCTCAGTCAAAACAGGTGCATATCCCAATAGCAACAAAAAAACCCTACTTTGGACACTATAAATTCTATTTTGATTTAATTTACTATGTAAGCATTTCCAAGTAGAGAAATTAAGGAAAATGTTTTCTTAACATGAAATATTAAGTCTCAATCACTCTTCTACAAATACATCCTGATATAAATACACCCTTGTCCATGAAACTACCTTTAACATTGCTCAGGAGATGAGAGTCTGTACTTCCTTAATATTTCCTTTACCTTGTAAACAGTCATTCGATGCTGAGCAATTGTAGTCAGTTTCTCTAGCAGGCCTCGCAATCTCTCCTGTGTTGCATGGGAGATCAAGTTCACAGCATCAGAGTTAAGTTCCGTAATGTTATGCTTTTTACCTGTATAGGCAGAGAAAATCCATTACATGTTTTAGTAGTGGCTTATAATTGAAATAATTAGCACAGCAGGTATTCAGTTCCCCCTGGAAGTCATACCCATTATGAATAAAGGTTTGGAGATTATGATTTTCCTGGTAAAGTCACAACTTCAAAGATCTTAGACATTACATTAATAAAACCTAGCCTGGAGCCTCAGAAAATATAGACATTGTTTCCCTTAGCCTCTAGAATCATTCTCCTTGCAAGGTCATTTATAGGACAAAGTTAATAAGAACACAAATCAAGTTTAGTGTTCAGGGAGGAAAATGGTAACTGCAGAAATTAGTGCTATATTCTGTTAATTTTAGTAATTAAAAAAATGGAAAGGCACATTTTACCCTGCTTGACACTGTTAACAATTCATGACATTTACTTCAGTGAACTGAAATTATAAATCTGTTCATTCCTTGTCTATAAAACATTCTTTTTGTCTGTTCCCCATTATATTTTGCACTACTCATGTTTTCATAAATTAACCTATTCAATTATAGGATGAAATATGCACAAAACCTCATCATTTCACCATTAATTTCAATAACTTGTTTCTCTTATGAACAAACTGTTTCATACAGGTTGTAATGAGAAAGAAAGTTTTAGAAAAAGAATTTGAGTGATAAACAAGAGCAGTAGCTGACATATAAACAATCCTAACAGTATTCAAACTGTGTTTCATAAGACAATAGAACTGCCTGCATCAATAGATATACAAATGTAAAGATACAGGCAGTTAAGAAAATTAAGGTAGATGCATTTTTAAAGGCTAGTGTGGAGTTCTTTGTTGTGGTGGTGGTTTTTGTGGTATGTGTGTATTCATGTGTATGTGGAGTGCTAGGGATCCACTCCTCACTTTCCAGGCAAGTGTTTCATCCACTGAGCCATTTTCCCAGGCATGCATGCATGCATGCGCACGCACACACACACGTACATACACAGACACACGTATATCTTCACAGTAATTTAAAAATACTGTTTGATTTTTACATGCTAATTCATATAATACATACTCATTCCCATCAAAGGCTGAACTACAGCAAAAACATAATTATAACTCAAATATACTTTGGCATTACCACAGAATAAATTTTAATTTAAAATATAGTCTAAGTAAACTAAGTAGGGAGATTTAAAATTATCCAACTTCTTTTAAACTAAGCCTTCAAACTATAATTCATTACTTTGTGGCAAAATTGACCTCATTTCCAATTTAAGACTTAAACAAAGGGAAAAGAAAAACACACTACAAAGTCACAACTACTTTTAAACACAAAGCATAAACAATTAGTTGAACCTTCCATATAAGAAGCAGTAAATTTTCTAAACAATCAAATGGTTAAAATTATAACATGGGTTAGAGAGATGGTTTAGTAACTAAATGCTTGCTCACTGCTCTTACAGGACTGGAATTCAATTCCTTGTTTACTTGACAGTGAAGCACACACAATCTGTAACTCCAGCCACCTCCATGTGTATCAGCACTCACATGCAGATGGGCGGGCACACATGTGCACACACAAAATAAATATACATCACAATTAAAAATAGGGTAGGCAGTGGAAGTCAACTTATAATTAAATTAAATAAAATCAGCATTTAAGATCATTTCTTGGGGAAAAGGAATTTGAAAATAACTATGTACTTATAAAGAAGTAATTTACCTATTTAAAAATCTATAGTATAGAAGGCTCTGAACTTGATTCGCAACAAAACAGGTAAAAATAGTAATTGGTATTTTTAAAATCTGTAATATTTTTATAGTATTAGAAATGAACAAGTATTAATAATTCCTAAGTATATACAACAGCAAATGTCCAAACATATCTTCACTAAGCTAAAAACTATATGTAGGTTAATTCCCACTTTAAAACAAAGCCAACATAATTAAGGAGAGAGCTAGTTAGTACTTGCCTGCTTAATATTGACTTTATTGAATGTCTACAATTTAATTTAGGCAATTAGAGAAAAAAATGAATATTGAAATTAAGTCTACCCTGCACACAGGAACAACATTATATCTAAAAAATTCATTTGGAAAATGTGTAATTTCTATTTTTAGGAATACCCTCAGTCGCTAACTTCTGTATGACAGAATTTTATTACAAGTAGAAAACATCTCTAGAAATAAATAAAACATTCATTCCTTGGCTGTTTCCTTTAAGGATAGTTTATGTTTCGAATTATGTGCATTGTTTGTATTTCATCATTAAGAACTGAAAACAGAGTTTCTCAAATCCTCCTAAACCAGGGTTGCCAAACTCTAGCCAGTAGGTCAAAATTCATCTCTTTCTAGGCACAAAGTTTTGTAAGAATCCAACCAATGGATGAAAAGTTTGTTTCTCCCCCCAAAAAGGCATAAAGAAACTCTGTCCATGACTTGGTTGACAATCGGAGTATAGCCCTTTGGGAATAATCAATTGCAATGAATAAAGTCAGAGTAGATCACATAAGGATACAATATAAAGAACTGTGAAAGACCACCCTAGCCAGAGACCCTGATGAGCATCCAGATCTGACATTCCCACTCCATAACTGTGACAATAAGTATGTGTCACTGAAGCCTTCAAGGCTATGGTCTTTTGTTATACAAGCCAGAGGCCAATAAGATACAGTCCTGCTCATTTGTCCATATGTTGTTCATGTTTGCTTCCCACCTGGAAAAAAGTTGCTGATTACGATCTTAAGCTGTCATCAAACCTCAAGAAAATGATCATACAGGGATCAAAAGATGGTTCAGTAGTTAGTAGGAATACAAACTGCACTTGCAGAGGATTCAGATGGAGTTCCTAACGCCTTCACTGTAAAGCTTACAATCACCAGACACCTCTGACCACTGTAGGCATCCCCACTATTAATAAAAATAGTACTAAATTTTTTTAAAAAATATATCATTTAATAAAGACTTAAACCAAACGGATTAAAAACTGTGGAAGGGAAAGAGAATTCAGCCAATGCTCTGCATCACTATAGGCAAACTGATGATAGCATTTTCTCAATAGAGATTTCTCTATTGTCTGACAAAAACCTAGCCAGGAGAAACTATTAATAATTATAATTGCTCACAAAAAAGATAACATGGCCTTAATTTAAATTACAATATAAAAGTGCTCAACATACAATAGCTAAAATACTCATTTATTATGAAGTAGACCAAATACGGTATAATTCATTTAAAAAAATCTCTAATCTATCTCACTGCATTTAATATGGGGTCTTACAGTCTTTCACATGACATTGAATCTGGCTCCAAATAATAAGAGTACATACATTCTCCTCTATTTTTTTTTTTTTTTAAATTCAATGGAGTCACCTAAACCCTGTACCTAGAAAAAAAAATCTTAATGTTCTAGCTCAATTTTCTTCAGGAGTAAGAGTGAAATTAAATTTTAGGGTTGATACAAGGAAAAAATTGGTTCTCATTAGGTATTCCTACAATTTACAAATACAACATTTATTATAAACTTTCATTTGTGTGTATATATATATACATTACTAAGGACCAACAAGGAACATGATTAAAAAAAAAAAAAACAGCACACATAAAGTATTTGTGAAAAATATGTATCTCTATTATTCAATCATATAAATAAAAAAAACATTAACTTACTATTATCTACCACAGAAACAAAAGATTAAAGTATTATAAAATAATATGTTTCATTCTGTAATACTCAGGAAATCTCAGAATATTTCTAGAGCCTTACCTAATCCTTAGAGTTTGGCCATGTCTTCATGATAACAATTCCCCTCAACAAACATTCCTATCAGGTCAATAATCATGGTTCTATACTTACCAATGTCTAAAATTCTCTTTTGTAGAGCTCCAATGAAAAGAAATGGTTCTTCTTTACACGACTGAATGAGTGTGCCAACAAATTCAGAATGTGTTGCTAAGATGCAGGCGTTTTCTTCATCAAGGTTGACTTCTGCCATGCAAGTCACATCATTGATGTCATCTTCACCTCTAAAGGGACAAAAAGTTAGTTTGCCTGTGTGCATGCACGGGCACAAAGAAATATATGTCTTAGCCAAGTATGGCAGTGCCCACTGTAATCCCACTATTTGGGAAGTTGAGGCAGGAGAAACAGGAATTAAAGGTCTTAAAGGTCATCCTTGGCTACACAGCATGGAAAAAACAAAAACAGACCTTTCTTATAAATAATATTACTTTATTAAGCTTATTCAATGAAGTGAACTGAAGAATGCTATCTTTTCTCCTTAAGCTTTTAAAATTAAACTGGCCATCACTAAGCAGAAGAGCAAGCTTCCTGGAAGAGAAATCAGAACCTGCTGTGTGTTCCAGAAATTATCATTTCCTCTCTGGTAAGTGAGACACACCAAGAAGGATTAGACTTACTCCAGTCATCCACAAATCCTCTACAATGAAAGACTAGGAAATGAAGACGGACTCTTTGCTTTCATCCAGGATTGTTAAAAGCCCTTCAAGATTTCCCCTGTGAACTCCACTATTCCATTTAATAGCAGCAGAAAAACTCAATCGTTTAATAAATAAATAAATAAAATAAACATTCCACATAAAGTCTCTTAACTATTTATCTGCCTAGCTATTCTGAAATTAAAATTTTAAATTAATTTTTTCATGATTCATATTTTTTGCATACTTCCTCTATACCAAATGAATATACTAAAACACACTCTCAAAGCAATTGGCTACAAAGGGACTATGTTTAAAGTATAAATAAAACTACACACATTCACATACATACACATAAAAACAAACATGAAATAGGTTTGGGCTTCTTGTTTTACACCAGTAAAGTTAATTTCATAAGATTGCTTTTTGTCTATAGTACCAACAAGAGGACATGTATCTACGAGAAGAAATAAATTCCCTCTAAAAATCCTTTTCACCATGGTAATAACAGTCTAGCTACTGATTGTGATTCACATACTAATTATACAAAAGTGATTATTATATTAAAACATATTCCATAAAAAGATGGGCAAATGGGACATCATGAGTCTGTGTCAAATTGATTTAAATTATATATTCCCCCAGTGATGATGCATTTGTATAGAGAATAAATTATAATTGTCAAACACTCAAGAAATGAAGGCTCTTGGTGTACACTTTAAAGGTAAGGAAGAAAAAAATGCCCAAGCAAACATAGAAAAGTACTCAATGAAAGAAAGATGCCAGACACACAGCCTAGAGAAAGAGCAACAGCGCTGTCACCATGCAGCCCACTAACAGCTAACATTTAAAGGTGTGTTTGTACTAAGAGAAAGAAAGAGAACAAATTAATATCTTAAACTAGTAATGAAACATTCATAAGAATGGCTCCAAAAGTCAACTTCCAACTGATATAAATCAAGTGGAATGCCCATATTTATATACCTAAACACAAAACATGAAAATGGCAAAAAATAATTACCTAAAGAAGGATCAGATTCTAAGTTAAAAATAGTCTTTTAAAAAGGCCTAAGTAAAATACTTCAAAACAGTGTCCCTTGGTACTAAATTAAGAGTAAGTAGGAGTAATGGGTTTCTCTGTTCTACTGTATGGTAAAGTGACTACAGAAAACATAATAACTACATGCTGCAAAACAAAACAAAACCACATGAATCTTGAATGTTTTCACCAAAAAGAAATGTCAATTATTAAGACTGAATACATTAGTCTGATTTGAACATTATACAATGTATGTATGTATGTATGTATTAAAACTAATAGTATCCATAAAGGTGGAATGTTATAGATCAAGTCCCAATTTTCTGAGGAACCACCATATTGATTTCCAAAGTGGCTATACAAGTTTGTATTCCCACCAATGAAAGAGTGTCACTTGTGTTTTTGATCTTAAGAGTTCTGACAGGTTTAACATTCAACTAATCTACCTCAAGAGCCAGCTATATACAACACTCCTAGGCATAAACCCAAAGGACACCCCCATCCAACCACAAGCACATGTAATAGAATATTAAGATGCGTGACTTTTGTTTATACTGCCATTTATTTAACTCGGTGAAGCTGTGATTCTTTGCCTGTCTAAAACACTGATGGTCTAATAAAGAGCTGAATGGTAGCCAATAGTGAGGCAGGAGCAAGGATAGGCAGGGCTGGCAGGCAGAGAATATAAACAGAAGAAGAAATGAAAAAAAGAACAATAGAACAAGGAGAGGAGGGTGTCAGAGGCCAGCCACCCAGCCAGTCACAGGGTAAGAAGGAAAGAGGAAAAGGAAGTGGGACAATTTAAAATAAGAAAAGCTAGCTAGAAAACAAGCCAAGCTAAGGCTGAGCATTCATAAGTTAAAATAAGCCTCCTTGTGATTTATTTGGGAACTAAGCGGTGGACCCCTCAAAAAGACAAAATAAATTCCCTCTGAGTGCATCACACTACATGGACACTTGCTTAACTATGCTCGTAGCAGCTTTATTCATAATAACCAGACTGAAACAATCTAGGTGTCCCTCAACCAAAGAATGGATAAAGAAAATGTACATCTACACAATGCAGCTTTACTCAGCAGTTAAAGGGGAAAAAAAAAAAAAAAATCTAAAAGCAAACCACAAAATGACATCCTGAAACATGCAGGCCATGGATGGAACGAGAAAAAAAAATCATCCCAAGTGAGGTAACCCAGATCCAGAAAGACAAACATGGTATGTACTCAATCATAAGTGGACATTAATAAGCTGTAAAGTAAAGGATAAAAATGCTGCAATCCATAGGCCTAGAGAGGCTAAGGAAAGCTCAAGGGGAATGGATGGATCTCTCTGGGCAGAGGGAATAGAATAACTTTCACAGGTGAACTGGGGACAGTTGGGATAAGCACTGAGATCATAATCCACACAGAACATTATATCAGGTTGTGTTTATGTATTTAGGTATGTGTGCATGTATGTATAATAACAAAGAAAAGGTGTCCATTATTTTGAGATAGTACAAGGTTGGGGTGTGTGTGTGGAGGAAGGTCTGGAAAAAGGAAAGGAGATAACTGATGAATTATAATGTAAAATAATAAAAATCATAAGCAAATTAAAAGTTTATGCAGCTGGAGAAACGGTTCTGTGGTAAGCGGACTTGCTGCTCTCGAAAAGGACCAAGGTGTAGTTACCAGCATATGGCAGCTTATAACTGCCTCTGGTCAAGGTCCAGGTTTTTGTACATGTCAGTGGACACTGTATGTATGTGTTACACTGACTTAGATGAAGACAAAATAGTCAATGTGAAAAAAATAAAATAAATGCATCTTTAAAAACAAATAAAAGCTATTACATAGAAACAATTATGAGTGGATGATCATAAATGAGATTTGTTTCAGACCAATGTAAATAGTATCTTGCTTTTCTGTGCACAGCTCCAATTGGGAATTCAAACAGGCTTTAGAGATCAGTTCCAGGCCTATGCATTACAAGTTCAAAACCAGCACTAGAATTTAATTAAAAGAGCAGCTTTACCCAACAAATAATCAAGAAAGTGACTACCCAATAATTACCTTTTGCCCACTTTGTCCCAACCTAACCACAATTTCTTCTGGTACAGCTAAGAGTGGGCATTGCCACAGGAGCTGGGAGGATCTCCAATGAAAAGAGAATTTAGAAGTTCCTCAAGGACAGGGGGCACACAGGAGGGAAGCAAAGGCAGCACTGGCAGGAGCACTGTCAATAAAAGCAAGACAGACGAGGACAAACTTAAGGCTATCATGTTCAGGAATGCCTGTGATCCTGCTTTGGGTTTATTTCATTTTAAAGGTAAAAAGTGAATGCCATTGAGCCAAGTCTCAGTGTAATGCAGGGTCTTCTAGTGAAGGTATCATGTCATATGGTCTATTATTTTAAAAGATACTCAGAAAATTTAGTACTTCAGTAGAAAAACCTTGAAGTGTCTGTGGAGTAGCACATCATACACTTTAGGTACTACTCATCTGTCATGTATTCTGTCTTTTGAAACTCCTCTAATTGATTTGTTTTTGATAAAGTTAAATACTTCTCAATGTTTACTTCCTTCAGTTGCCCTAGTATTAAGCTCTGCAGTAGCACTAGACTAATTTTTCTGAGAAGGTAGAAAGGCATTCTTTTCCTGCTCATGTCTACATAAGGACCCTGGTTCCCCTCTATCCTCTACCAATATCAACAACTCCTCTTGATTCCAGCCTCTGTTGGAGTCCTAATTCTTGTCTAATCTTCAATTTGCCTTGCTCTCTTATTTTTCAGCCAAAGTCTGATCTATATGCAAGGTCAACTTCAATTACATATTTTTAAAACATATGCTCGATTTGTCTTTAAACATTTCAATTACTACTGAGAACATACTTTTGTCCATTACAATAGATCCTGCTATAGTGTCTAATCTAATGTTCAATGTATTTGCTTAAATTTACAACAAAACTATCCTTATTGACCATATTACTAACAAAGCAGTATATAACTTGCATGTAGATATTTAAAGAATTATGTGCCTTATAATAATGTACTGGTTGCCTAGAACAATATAATGAGCAGAGACAAATAAAAATTCCAGTTCTGAATCACTTTGCCTACCTTATTATCTATCCTGACTATTCCAATTACTAAGTAAACTAAACCTTAACTTCTCAGAACCCGTATTTTCATAAAGGTGTAGATAGAATACGAGTCCCTGCCCTCAGATTGAGGACTAAAGAGGGAATTTATATTATACGAACAGGGAATCCACATGCTTCTTACAAGTAAACTATGAGCTTCCTAAACTGAAAATACTTTTAATATGCCAAACATTACAGGTTAGCTTAGCCTCCTGTAAACAGTTCAGAACACTTTGACAGGCAAAGTACACAACAGCAAAAAAGATAACAAAATGAGAGGAAAAGGAGACAGGGGTGGGGTGTGGGGGGTGGAGGAGGTTACAGAAAGACATATAAATAGGTTCTGGGCTAGCCCCCCGACAATGGAACAAAATCATGAATGGGTCTCACTTTTCCTACTACATAACCTTTTGAGTTTTATGCAAAGTAGTATG